TCAAGCGCCTGGTGGTGCGCGGCCTCGACCTCGGCCTTGTCACAGCCGATGGCCCCAAATAAGTCCACGTAGGCCACGTGCACGGGCCCTCCGCCCAGCGAGGGTGGCGGGGCGCCATCGCGAAGAGAGGGGGGCGCAGGCCAGCGCGACGCAGAACCTCCTCGTGCACCAGCTGCGCCGCCCACATGGCCCACGAAAAGCCCATGGGCAGAGACTGCAGCGCCTGGTAGATGAGCTCGCGGGCGTCGACCTTGACGCCATTGACGCTCTCCACCCCGACCGCCGATGCCCGAGCCGGTGGTAACGCGAAGTACTGGGAGAGCTCCTCCTCGATCCTGAGTTCGTGGAAGTAGTCCTTGATGTCAAAGCTGGCAGAGTAGATGGCCTGCTCAGAGCTGCTTTCGAGACGGCTGAGCGAGTCACAAGTAGCAAGCTGCATGGGGTCAGGGATATCGAACCGAACGTTACTCCGACGCGCATCACACACGAGTCGAAAAAAATCACCACTCTTTTCGCGAACAAAGAACAAGCCAACCATCTCTTTGTAGGTTCGGGACCAGCGCACCAGTCCCCTGTCACGCAGCTCCCGACAAAATCCCTCCCACGTGGCGGGCTGTGCCTCCAGCACTGGGTCAAAGTAAAGGTTGGGTGGCCCCTCGCTCTTGATACGCAATGCATATTCCTCGTCGCTGAGAAGAACGGCGCCGCGAAACCGCTTGAGCTTGCGCGACGCGCCCGAGGGCAGAACTTGGTAGACGCCCACCCTCGACAAGTCGCGGCCCGGCAGCGAGACTGGCGCCGAACCAAACGGTGCAATGTTCCCGGCACACTCGCTGTCTCCGCAGCGAGCGTCTGCACGCAGAAGCGCCGCGAGGGCTTCATGCGGGGCGGGCCGCTCTCGAGGCAAGGGCATGGCCGACACAGCATCTTGGACCATAGCAACAGCAGCCCGCGTCTGCTCTCCACCTGGACCACTGAGACGTGCGCTGCCAACCCCATCCAAGCTCATTGAGGGCCCAAGCTGTCTCGTCGACGCGCCTGTCAACCCACGCACGACGACAAATACGCTGCTTGACTCCACGACTGAGAGCACCACGTGGGACCTCAATCTTGTCCAGCCTTGGCAGCGGCAGTAGGTCACGCTGGCGACCATCCGCCATGCCTCAAACAAAATCTCGCCGAGGTCCTCGATGACGGCCCCGACTGCGGTGAAGGCGCCAGGGTCTCCGAAGACGACCTCGACTAGTTGGCGGCCCTGAGCGGGCCACGAAAACGTAGATGCCGCGGGGCGGCTAGCCCTTGCGCGCAAGGGCCGCCTCCTCGCGGGCCTTGCGTCGCTCCATCTGGATCTGCGCTTCACCCTGCAGCTGCCCAGCAACGTGCGTGGTGGGCGCCGGGGCCACCGCGGCGACCCTTCTGCCGAGCCCCTGGCAGTGCTCGCTCTCCTCCAACCTCGGAGCCGTCGGGTTCGACGTGTAGGCCTCCCCCAATAACCGAACCCGTCCCGCGAGGATATCACAAGAGGCCAGCGATGGCACATCCAATTGATCATAGGTGAGAGCACGCCCGAGGATTTCCGAGAGGCTGCCCTGTTCGTGCTTGACCCTGTCGTTGTCCGGCTCATGGGCGTGCCGCATCGACCTCCCGGCCCTGGTCCTGGGCACTTGGCCCTGGTCAAGAATGAAACTGCAGAGCCACAACGTGGCATGCGGGCCCTGGATCGGGAAGTCCGTGATGGCCACCAGTTTGAGCTCCCTGCCGCCGACGTCGATACTCCCCAAGACGAGGGTCGCGGTGCCGAGCTTGGCCAGTGCGAAGTTGCCCACGATGTCCGCACTCGCGTCCACACTCCAGTCAGCTTCGACGGAAGGCGCTCCTGGCTGCCCATCACTGGCGACCATGATCCACTGGCGGCGCGCCGACGCCGCTGCCCCCGGCCAAGCGTCCGTTCCCAAGGGCACTCCAGCCAGCGGGACGGCTGCGCCTCCACCTGGTAGTCCAGCATCTGCAGTCCACCCGTGCATAGCCGCACGGTCATGCACAGCGCCAGACTCTGCATCAGCAGCAACGGCGTCGGCAACCCTGTTGGCCCTCTCAATCTGCGCGGTCGCAACCCCATCCTTGAAGACCTGCCGCCACTCTGCTGGTGCGTGCTGCTGTCCGAGCGGCCCGAACCTATACAGCAAGGCGCTGGCCGTGAAGGACGGCGGGATCGACCCCGGGCAGCACGGCTGGCAGCTGAAGTCGTAGATGTCCTCTGCGACGACATCGCCATCAGGCGTGGCGATGACCCAGGTCGTCCCCTCCACCTTGCAGAGCAGGAGGAGCTCGCGCCAATACGCCTACGCGCCCCCGTACCACACCAGGACCAGGCGGCCCGGGGCAATAGGTCTCGCCTCGGACATGCACGATGCGCCGAAACCCTGCGCCCCAGATCGCCCTACGCAGCAGCCCGCAGCGAGCCCCACAAGGCCGGCGAGCAGCACCGCGACGAGCCACCACCTGCCGAGGTCCACCGCCACCTCGGGGCAGCTGACCTCAGGGCAGCTCGGGCAGCTGGGACAGGTGGCCCCTCCCAGCGTGCAGGACGGGCACTGCAAGGCGGGGCACGCCAGAGATGGAGAGCAGGTACAGCTCGGACAATCCAGGCAAGCAGGGCAACTCTGGGAGCCCTGGCCAGCCCACACCAAGGTCGCGACGCTCGCCGACCGCAGAGCCTCCCGCGCACCGTCCAGCAAGGCGTCGGTCACCCCGAGCCTGCCAAACATGCACGGATGCCCCGCGACTGGCCAGCGGCGCGCAGACCCTGGAGCAACAGAAGGCTATGAAGCATGGCACGGGCGCGGCTGCTATGCACTGCTGCCTTTCCCCCTACTCGTGTCTCAGAACGGTCCCCAGGTCATCATGACTGTGAACGCACTCTCATCATCATCATCATCATCATCATCATCATCATCATCATCATCATCATCATCATCATCATCATCATCATCATCATCATCATCATCATCAGCAGCAGCAGCAGCAGCATCATCATCATCATCATCATCATCTCATCATCATCATCATCATCATCATCATCATCATCATCATCATCATCATCATCATCATCATCATCATCATCATCACCATCATCATTCATCATCATCATCATCATCATCATCATCATCATCATCATCATCATCATCATCATCATCATCATCATCATCATCATCATCATCATCATCATCATCATCATCATCATCATCATCATCATCATCATCATCATCATCATCGGGTGCTTCTCAGAAGCTCTCGGAAGCTTCTAAAGGCCTTCGAAGGCTTTCTGAGCACGCCCTGCCTTCTAAGAAGCCTCCCCCTCCCCCTACCCCCCTCGGCGAACCGCCGAATGGAAGAGGTGGTCCCCGGGGAGGGGGTTATCATCGCGGATCCGTTGTTGGCGGGCCACCTAACTTCGTGGGCCACCTTCGAAGACGAGGACGACGACGACGACGACGACGACGACGACCAAGACGAGGACGATGATGACAAGGACGAGGACGACGGTCACGACGACTCTACGACGAGGACGAGGGCAGGGAGGGGGGCAAGGAGAGAGAGAGAGGGGGGGGGGGAGAGAGACCCTCAAGACGGCCTCCGAAGGCGCCAGACCGGCAAAGAGCACCCTAAGACGGCCCAAGAGACCCCAAGAGGCCCCCAGGTGGCATCCAGGAGTGCTCCAAGAGGCCCTCCTGGAGAAACCAAGGTGGCGACCCGTTCCAGTTCAGACCACTCGTCGGAATTTCGCTGTTCCTATACTCAGCCTTCTTCCTGTCGCGCTGTTGCACAGGCACGCCGAAGGGTTTGCCGTAGGCAGCTGGATAGTTGTACTTTCCCTCCTCCTCCTCCTCCTCCTCCCTCCCCCTCCTCCGCCTCCCCTCCTCCTCCTCCTGTACTCCCCCTCGTCCCTCCTCCTCCTCCTCCTCCTCCTCCTCCTCCTCCTCCTCCTCCTCCTCCTCCTCCTCCTCCTCCTCCTCCTCCTCTTACTCCTCCTCTTACTCCGCTTGCTCCTCGGCCGACCGCCGACCGGCCGACCGCCGACCGGAGGGGAGGAGGAGGAGGGAGGAGGGAGGGGGCAGGAGGGGGGGGAGGAGGAGGAGGAGGAGGAGGAGGAGGAGGAGGAGGAGGAGGAGGAGGAGGAGGAGGCGGCGCGCCGAGGGGGGTTGGGGGGAGCGGGGGAAGTTTTTTCGCGTGCATTGGCATGCGTTGGCATGCATTGGCATGCATTTGTATGCATTGGCATGCATTGGCACGCTTTGGCATGCATTGGCACGCATTGGCACACATCGGCACGCGTTGGCATGCGTTGGCATGCATTGGCATGCATTGGCATGCATTGGCATACTTTGGCATGCATTGGCATCTCATGGCATGCATCGAATTGCGTTGGCATGCATTGGCATGCTTTGGCCGCCGCCGACGATGTCGTCGTCGCCGTCGTTGTCGTCGTCGCCAAATCGTCGTCGTCGCCGTCGAATCATCCTCATCACCACCACCACCACCATCATCATCAGCAGCATCATCATGAATATCATCATCGCAATCGACCGCGAGACGTCAAGCGCCGGCGCCTGCCCAGCTATCCCCCCGGGGCGAGATCCCCAGGCCCACGCCGGAGCCCCCCTTCGGCGAGGCCCCCCTTCGGCGGAGCCCCCTCCCCCCGCCCTCCGGCCCCCCCCCCCTCTCTCTGGGCGCCCCCCCCACCCACCGCCCCCCCCCCCCCCCGCGGGAAAAAACACACAACAACAAAAACGCCTCGAGGGGAGGGGGGGGAAGTCTCCGAGGGAAAAAATAAAAGCCTCGAGGCCCCCGGCCCCCCCCCCCGCCCCCCCCCCCCAGGGGGAAAAACAAAAAAAAAACAAAAAAACCTGGAGCCCCCCCGGGGGGGGGAAAAGGAAAAACTAAAACAAACAAAACAAACAAAAACAAAAAAAACTCGGTGGGGGGTAAGCCCAACCCGCCTGAACTTCCTGGTCCTGCAGTTCTTGCAGTTCGTCTGGGCCGTTGTGTTCGCGCTCTGAATCTCGGCAGCCTCGTCCGCCTGGTCGGCCTCCAGCCGGTCGACCCGCTCCTTCAGCTGGCGGAGCTGGTCCTTGATGTCGGACAGCTCCTTCGGCGGGAAGGACGGCACGCTCACAGTCCTACCCTTACATTCCCTCTTCCCACGTCGCACCCCCGTTCGAGGAGGGGTCGGTGGGGAGGGAATGGGGAGAAGAGGGCGAGGCAGGAGCGCGGGTATGTGCTCTTGTTTTCCCACTCCTGGGCTCTGTGCGCCTTCACCACCCTCATGTGCGCACCTCCACCGAGCTCCAGGGCAAGGTTCCCACGATCTGCGAGGGAGGTACGAGCAAGGACCGCGAGAGCTGCGACAACTACAAGCGTCATGGCACCGACCGCAACCAAGCGGCACAACGCGAACTCCTGTGGCCTGTGGCGAACGCCGCGGATTTCTTGTGAACGAAGCTCGAGCCTAGATCGGCACAGGCGCGCGCGAGGAGCCAGGAGGAGCAGTTTCCCTCACCCCCCACCACTCCCTCTCCCCCTCCCTCCCCCTGCCCCCTCTCTCCATCCTCCCTCCCCTCCGCCTGCCTCCTCACTCCCCTCCTCACCCCCCGCTGCTTCTCTTCCTCCCTCGCTTCCGTCCGCCCCCCCACCCCGCCAGACTGGGTTGGGCTGAGATGGGCCGGGTTGGGCTGGGCCGGGCCCCCCTCCCTTCCTCCCTTCCTCCTCATCATTCGCCTCCTCTGCCTGCTCCTCATCGCGCTCCTACCCCTCCGTTTCCTCATCATTCCTCCTTCCTCCTCCTCCTCCTCCTCCTCCATCCATCCCTCCCCCTCCCTCTCAATCGTTGCTGGGCTAAGATGGGCCGGGCTCATCGCCCCCCCTCTCTTTTGATACGTGCCGCGCCTCTCCATTTCTTTCCCCTTCTCCTCCCTCCCTCTTCCTGGATTGGGCTGGAGCTGGTGGTCTGGGCTGAGGTCCAGAAGAAACCTGATCTCCCGTTCCAGCCCCTGCATAGAGTGCAAAGCAACGCCTGCTTATTGCTCTCGCTCAGGGAGGCAAGGTGCTCTATCCGCTCGCCGTTGGACACTCCTCGCGGAGGAAGAGTACGCGCAAGCATGGCGCACGTTGGGGCACTCCTGTCGGCGTGCACGTGCGAGGAGCTACGGTCGTATCGAAGCCGATTAATCAATCAGAAACGAGAGACACATAGAAAGGCACCAGACCAAAATTCGCTCAACAGCAGTCCCTGAAACCCTCCTGGGACTTGCCCTGACCCATTGCGCACCCAGAACCGACTTCTGACAGCCCAGGCCCCGAAACGGGTGCCCAGACGACGAGATTGGGGAAAATACTCTGGTGCGATTTTGTCGACAAACAATCGAGAGCGTCTCAATATCGGATCCTCGCGTCAAACATAGATACGGAGAGTGCTCGTGTTCTTTCTATCGTAGCGGGCCGCGGCATGAGGTCCACAGATGGTGCCGCGCGGGGGGAAGGTGCACAAGACATCTGCAGCGAGAGAAGGGTACCTGGTCGAGGGGATCGAAGATCGCGCTCTTTTATATTTTGGGGGCTCCAGTGAAGGTATCGTCGCCACGGCTGGAATCCCCGTCAAAATTCGGGTCAGAACGCTCACCGGGACAGGTCAGGTCAGGAGGTCGATCTGGAAGAGGTGATCCAAGCTTTGTTCCAATATCTCGGGGCCTTTCAGGGAAGGCGCACATTAGCGATCTTTAACCTACAGACTACAGCTGGGTCATCCTCCCCGACTGCAGGGCAACGGGTGGAGATCCACATCAAATCTGCATCCAGCACGGCGGTCGTCCCCGTCTGCCAGGGGGAGGCTGGATATAAAAAGACCTCTGCTGCGAAGCCCTTCCTGCCCACCGCCGATAATGTTCATGGTTCCCGTGAGTCCTCAAGCTTTCCTGGGCCGACACGGGCACCCTCTCGCCGTTGCTGCAGCGGGTCTCGCGGGCCGGGGCCGCAGCACTCGGCTCCTTGCGCACGACTGCACAGAGTTGCGGGCGGCGTAGGTTTGACGCAGACGCCACGGCCGATTTTTTTTGTAGCGCTGAATAACCACAGAGCGTATCAAGCACATTGCTTCTGAGTGCGAACACCAAGAATTGCGACTAAGATCCCGAATCGCTTTCAGCTTGCCCGAGGTTTCAGGGGGGGAGCACCGAACCTCGGACAGCTCTGCCTTGAGGCATTCTACATAAATATATATATATATATATATATATATATACAAGACTGCAGTGGCGCTTCGCGCCATGCACCTTGGTCCTTGAAGCTTGGTACGAAGGCGGACTGGCGGGAAGGTCAAGCCGACAATTTAGCGATAACTCCTTTTCCGGCATCGCCGCTATAAGAATGTTATTCGTTATCCTTCCTCCATGCTTCTTATTCCTAATTTTCGCCATGCCCTGCACATTCTCCCCATCCTCCTCAGCTCTTTTTGCGGAGGTTCCTCCTTGGAGAGCCTCTGGGGGCCTCATGGGCGTATTCTGGAGGCTTTCTTAAGGCCTTCTGGAGGCCTCCTGGGCGTGTTGGGGGGGGTTCTGGGGGTTTGTCGGGCCACCCTGCCTCCAACCGCGGTCTCCCTGAACGACCAGGTCACGATTTGGAATGCTTCGGAGGGTGTCTTAGGGCCATCTTGGGCCGCCATGGGGCTTCCTGAGGGCCATCTTGGACCCCTGCTGTGCCGTTTTGGGGCTCTCTTGGACTGCCTGGAAGCCCTTTCGGGTGGTTGTGGGGCGATTTTGGAGCCTCCCATGCAGCTTCGGACGCCCAGAAGACCGCCGTCATGGAGCGTCGGGAAGCCGAAAAGAGGAGAACCCCAAAATAAGCCATAAACCAACAAAATCAAGGAGTGTTGCCTCTTGGGGCCTTCTTGGGAGTGCTCTTGGAAGCCTCTTGGGACGTTTCGGGACGATCGTTGGGGGTATGACGGTTTCTTGGGGGTCGTCGTCGACCGTATTGGGGCTCTCTGGGGTCGTTTCGGGAGCGCGCCACGTCCTGCGAGGCCCTAGGGGCCGCTTCGAGGCCCGCCCAGAGGGTCCTTAAGCCCCAGATCCTGGGAGTCTGGTTTTTGGGGGGTGACGGGTTTTCCCCCCGCCCGGGCTTGTAGAAATATAGAAAGAGGAATACATGTACAATGAGTATGTGTACACGCGTATGGTGTGTTTTGTATATATACATATATATATATATATATATATATATATATATATATATATATATATATATATATATGTATACTATATATATATGTATATATATATATATATATATATATATATATATATATATATATATGTATATATGTGTATATATATATATGTGTATATATATGTATGTATATATATATGTATGTATATATTTGTGTATATATATATATACATATAGGGTGCGACTTCGACCGCTAAGAGCACCAACGAACGTTTATTTCAAATGTGTTTTCCAGCTCCAACTTCCCTTTACCCTACCCAACTAATCAAAGGACGCTCCCATACGCAGAAATGTGGGCCACATGTTGGGGGATGCCTGTTTTCAGAACACCGAAACGCGATGGTTCATTATGTGTCGCTCCCCTCCTCGCAATGCGATGATTCTGGGGTGCCGCTCACGCACTTGGAGGCCAACTGGCTTCCAATGTCCAACAGCTGTAAGCACTGCCATGGCTCACGAAGACTCCGCAATTCCTTGACGATCTAAGAACCGATGGGCCCGACGCGCCGCCTGAACATCGAATCGACGATTGCTTCGGAGGTCAACTAGGCAAAGTCATATTCTAAACCATCCTCACACGTTAAATCGGATTCCCAATCTCTCTGGCCAGGGGCATCAGCAATTCAAGGACAGCATTACACATTGGTTTCCCGATCATGCGCTAGCAGTGAGCGCCAAATAAGTGCACAAGCGAATATGAGGAAACACCGCTGGTTTACGACTTCTCAGATTTGCGAAGCACGGCGCGGGAAACTATCACACGGCAACGACATCGGTTGGATATGTTGCTTGGATTAACCAACTTACTCCGGAGGTAAGACCCCGCATGAGAACCCTGTCTGCTAATCTGGAAATCCTCTTCATCGTCGTCCTCGTGATTGGCGAAGCGTCCTAACTGTCTCCTCTGCATCATTATCCTTCTGGCCCTGGCGCAGGCCCTCATCCCACCCCCTAGCCCCCTCCTCGCCCCCCTGTTTTTTTTTCACCCCCGCCACCTCCTCCTTTCTTATTGCAAGAGCGCGCGTGCCGATTTTCCTCGGCGCCGTCGCCGCCTCGGCCAACACGGGCTCATTCTCGAATGGCCACATCGCGCAGCCGCTGGGGCAATCCCGCGGGCCAGGCAGTTGGGACAACTCCTCGAGCTGTCGGGCACGGGGGCATGCCGTTGGAACAACCCCGCAAGCACCGAGATAATCGCGGCCGCGCTCAGGCAGGAATCAGCACGAAGCCCAGCTCTGCCGCGAGCTGCTCCGCCTCTGCCTTGGAGCTCTCCGCTCTCTTGCCGAAATCCCTGAGCGCCTTCCGCCGGGACGCCGGAGGCCCGCTCCCCAGGAATTCCCGCGGAGGAAGCCGCTGGATGAGCACGTTCCGCATGCACGTGGCGCGGGAGAACATGACGCTGAGATGCAGCATTCCTCTTCCTCTGATGGGTCGAGCGAATGGCCCTCTAAAAAAACCAAAAACTTCGTTAGGATTGTCTGCGTCCCAATGGATCCGATGGTCCGCTCGGGTTCAGCGAGCTCTTGGTCGGAGGAGGAAGGAAAGAGGGAGAGAGAGAGAGAGAACAACAAACAAAAAAACAAAAACAAAAATGATTACGCGGAGGAGGAGGAGGAGGAGAAAGGAGAGACGAGGAGGAGGAGGAGGAGGAGGAGGAAGAGGAGGAGGAGGAGGAGGAGGAGGAGGAGGAGGGGGAGGAGGGGGAGGGGGGAGGAGGAGGAAGAAGAGGAGGGGGGAGGAGGAGGAGGAGGCGCTGGAGGATCCCCCTCGTCGGAGCTCGGAGAAATCCAAGTTATTGCGAGAGCTTCTTCCAGGGACCTCCAATCATCTGGGGCCTTCCCTTCCTCTTTTCTTCTCTCATGTTCCCCCTCCCCTCCCCGACCCCGCCCCCTCCGCCCCCCTAGGGAACTACCCCGGTCGAGAAGTCCCCGACCTTACTTCCTCCATATTCATGCCCGAAGCTGGTCGGATTCCAGGTTCCAGGTTTGCAGGCGGCCCGCTCGGATCCAACATGGAAATGGGGTTCCCATCGAGAGGGCGCTCCCGCCTGAGACTTCCTCGAAAATAACTCACAGACGGGGCCCCGCCTGAGACTTCCTCAAGATTCAAGCCTGAGGAGCCCAAAAGAAACGACAATTACAAGATCCCGATGACCCGGTCGGATTACCAACATGAAGTGCGGGACCCATAAGAAGGGGGCTCCCGCATGAGACTTACTCGCAATTCACTCACAGACGAAGCTCCCGCCTGACACCTCCTCAAGATTCATTCAGGCCTGAGGATCCCAAAAATGACATGAGGAGGGGGCTCCCGCCTGAGACTTCCTCGCAATTCACTCACTCACAAACGAGGCTCCCGCCTGAGACTTCCTCAAGACACTATGTGTTTTGGCCACGTTTGACCGAATCAGTTAACGCAGCGGCTGCAAAGGCAGCCACTCTGAACTATTGCAGAGGACAGACAAGCCCGCAACCACAAGTGCCAACCTGACGGCAGGACAAAGCACCCTTGGCCACGCGCCTGTCCATCATGCATTAGCCTGACCCCGACTTTGCTCCGGAGCCCGAGGCGCCACATCCTCCTCGCTACGAAGCAAATTGGACACAGTGCGCCACCCCGCACGGGGGTCAGACACGGCCTCCGAGGATGCAGGAGTGGACCCCGTCGCGATTGCAACAGGGCCCCCGTCCTCGAGCAACTCACGGGAGGCACCTACTTCGGCCTCGAACAGACCATCAAGCAGGTCCGCTCCAGGCGCAGAAGGCAGCGCGCCTGGAGCCACACCATTGCTTTCCCACCCCGCCGTCCTCACGCCCCCCCGCCCACCAGACTCCCTAGCAGCGATCCTAGCC